TCACATCTATCATACATTTGCACAGGAGTAACAAGGGGAAAATATTTTATAAGAAGTTACATACAAACCTTTCATAGCTTTTTTCATGCTTTTCATATTAAATCTAATGTTGGATCACAATTTTCAAAATGTAATTTTTTTTTTTGCAATTACTCAACTACAAGTGGACTGATGCCTTGTAATACAGTAATATACAGAAACTATATACACAGATCTGCATGTTTGCATGTGCAGGAATTTGTTTTATTTAAACTATAAATGAAAATAAAGATCACCTTCCACCATAACACCTTCTAAACCCTCTTTTTCCGCTTCCTTTCTCAACTGCTTCTCTCCATGTTGAAATATGGCAGTGGCTGAACTATGAGTCTCAATAAAGTATGCTTCATTTGTCTCCCTAAAGAAAAATAAACTGCTAAAACAGAGGGAAAAAAGATGCTAATGGGTACGTTTTAATCCTGTGTCTTTCTGTTCTCCCACATCTTGGTGAATATAATAACAAAATAATCATGTTCATTATGTATGTTAGTCAATGATTTTCTGTTTTATTTTGATAGTTTGTCTTCTGTGTCTTATAGCTAGTTCCACTTCACCTGTCTTGTGGTCTTGAGTGTTTTGTGTCTTGCTACCTGTGTTTCCCATTTCCCTCATTATCCCTTAGTGTGTCTGTGTGTTCATAAATAGTGTTTTTTCCCCTCCTTTGTCCTTAGTCACAGTTTCTATCATGCTCACATTGTATTTCCGTGTGGCATTTCTTTTTCTGGGTTTGTGTTAATGGAGCTCTGGATTTTTATCCATAAACCTGTGTTTTATTTTTAGTGAGTCTTTCTTCATGTGTCTGCGTTTGGGTCCTCAGTTTCCAAATCCTGACATTGTTTTCCACAACAGTTTGTTCTGCTTCTGTCCAGAACATAGGGTTAGTGGCTTGAAGCTACGCTTAAGGACATGATGGATGATGACTTACCTCAAAAGGTTAACATGCAAAAAATAAAGTGAAAACATGAATTAATTCATTTAAGATGACATATTTCATTAACTGACTAACATAAAATATGTTTTTACTTTCTTTCTATTTAAATGTTTTGTGTTTTACACATGGGAAGCTTTAGTTTGTAAAAACAAAGTGGGATGGAGGCTTCACAGGAGAATGTGAGCATCTGCCTAACAAATCTGACACATGTATTCATTTCTGAGACAGGGGAAAATGGTGCTACAGGTGGTTAATGTGAGCACTTTTATTTTTGCTTCATAAAACACACTACAGATACTCTTAGAAAAACCTTCTGATGAGCGGTGCTTTTTGTGTTTGCGTAACAAACTATTTATAAAATCATCTTTCCGTTATAAAAGATAAACATCAGTTCAAACCTATAGCTCCACTCAGTTTGTTATCAGGCTGTTTCTACATCCTGTTGCATGTTGTCTCCATGTTGTCCTTCAGGTCTCCCTTTTGTGAGTGCTACATTGTTTAATAGACTTTTTTTTGTCATGCTGACTGTTTTTCTGTGTATGGCTATTGCTTTTTTTTTTTTTTTTAACTGATTTGAACTGAGGGTTTTACCCTGTCTCTATGTGTTCTGTGTTTTTGACCTCCTCCTGCAGTGATGGTGAATTACAACTTCACCATAATAAAATTTACATAAATGAATAAATAGTGTTTTACCAACCAAACTTTGATTTTTAAATAATATCCAAGCATAATGGATTATTACTGCTATCATTTTGGTAACTTGGGAATCATTCAGTCTGATAGATGCAAATATATAAATGCTGTAATAGATTAAGAGCACTTGAACATGTTGTCCTATTCAAGGACCATTTAAACCTGCATACCAAGTTTGCAGCCGGTAAATAAGAAAATGTATGAGCTTTTGGTCATACATTGTCAGTATATATACTAAATGTAATGTTAGCATATATCAACATGGTTCTACAAAATAAATTACATTCTTTCATAGCAAATACAGTTCAGTTCTTAGAGGAAATACAGTTCACCTCACACCACACTGGTGATTACTGATGGTACTGTTGGCTAAATCTGAACTTTTATTTTTTCTTTCTCTAGTATACTAGAGAAAGAAAACAAAAGTTCAGTATCAAGTTTCTATTTGTTACGTCCCCACGATGAGGTCGAGGGGTATGAGTGTGGGGACCGGTAGCAAATGGGTCCAGAGCTGAATGAAAGGAAACCAGACAGAGTGCTCAGTATATATTATAGCTTTATTACAAATAATCTTAACTTAAAGAGCCGGCAACACCGTTTTACCAATAATGCCAAAGAAACAAAGGAAGCAGTCGCAGCAACAAAGGAAAAAACTACCAAACAAATAAGGGAGACACTTCCGGAGCCCACAAGCCCATCTACTCACGACTCGAAGGAGCCTGTCCAAAACCTAGGGGGAAACCATGTAGCGCCACAGGGGGAAGAAAACCAACTCACTCACAGTTCATCCCCAGCTTATGTAGCCTCAGAGAGGTGATTGCTGACTGGGCCCAGGTGGTAAATGAGGCTAATCAAAACCAGCTGTGTCCTGGGGAGAGAGAAGAGTGAGAGAGAGACAGAGGGGTGGAGCAAGAGAGGAGGAGGCGGAGAGAGAACACCACAGCCACACAAGGGCAATTTCAAGAGGAGGCCCTGCTAGGCCCCTAACCAGCCATTTTGATTTTTAAATGCATATCAAATTCATTTTGAAGCATATATTTGTGCAACTACATTGTTTCACATTATTTTTTTATAGATAAAAATTACAAGCCATGTAGAGAAATCTCAAATTCATATTGAAGCACATATTTGTACAAATTCATCCCTCAAATTTCTGTTTCCTTAACAAAGATATAAATGAATGTGAAAATTACAAATGGTGTGAAGAAATTACAGTCTGCAACAACACAAATGCAAGTTTCCACTGCCAATGTTCTCTGCTTGTTTTTCAGCTCTGTCTTTCTTCCTCGTCATGGTGCTGTTGGTATCCGCAGGCTGCAATCCAGGATTCAGCATGAAGAAAAAACAATGCATGGGTATGAAAAACAAAACATCTGACACTTCTGTGTGCATTTTCATTTAAAAAATAAAAACATATAACATGTATAATCTGTTAAAATTATTTTTATGAAATATCAATAACAAGTATCTATTTTAAAATCTATTTTAAATTCATATTGAAGCACATATTTATACAAATACATCCTTTTGCATTTCTGTGTCCTTAACAGTGAGTCTAACAGTGAGTTACAGTAAGTCCGCAAATAAATGATTAAGTGTTGCTGCATCCAGCAACCAAAAGTTTTACAAACTGGCAACAGTTTTCTTTCATGGAAAACAATAAACTGTAAACACAATGACAGGTGTTTCAGTCTCCACACCCTCCAAAAAAAGAAAAATGTGTGGCATATTCCTGAGCATATTCAGCTGACTGGGTAACAATAAATTTGTTATTTGTTTCAAAGATTACACTAAATTTCTTTGTGTTTTTAAATAGCCAACTTTATACTGCACCCATCAGCTGTCAGTTAGGAGTTCAAAGTAAATGGACTGTGCAAACTCCCAGATGTAATAATGGTTTATTTTTGTGCTCTGTCATGTAATGTTTTCTCACTCATAGGAAGCACAGTTCTCCAGACACCAATGTGCTGTTTATTTAGAATCATATTTAATGTGAGGAAATTATGATAGAGAATGAGGGCCTTTGCTTCTTCTTCCCAGATCTTTTACTATCACAACCATTTTTGTGCAATTTATATGATAAACAAAATTCATAATCAGAATAAAACATCAGGATAGATTAATGTTCAAAAGGTACTGAACCATAGTATACTAGGCTGACAGTTCTCTGCTTGTTTTTCAGCTCTGTCTT